GATATTGTCAGAAATAATTCCAGATATGTGATAGGAAGCTTGTATGTTATGTGTAAATCCTCTCCTCCCACAACACTAAAAATAACCCAGGGAATTCTATTCCCAGTAAGAAACACATTATTTTCACTCATTTCTAGTCAAGCCTGTCTAGGATAAATGATACAACTCAGAGATGGGGATTACATAAAATCACGGAAGGATGCGAGCTTCTCTGTCCTAAGGCAAACTTGTGTTATGGCTCTCAAGGGGACTGGCTACCTAAATGAGTGCCCTCCACTGTCAGGCCAACATAAACATGGCTGGGAACAGGGCAGTTCTTTTATGGTTATCCGTCCCTGGAGACCCTGCTTGCTGGGAAAGACACTCTCACTATAGTGACTGTTTGCTTGAGAGTCCCGGCTTCAGTGGCCTCTCACAGAAGGAACAGCCTGGGGCCACATGCCAGCGGACCAGGCTCCTCAAACGCAGAAGGCTTTCCAGGTAATGGGAACAGAAAGACAAACACTCTCCCAGGATCCTGATTTGTGCGGCTAAGCTATAGTAGTGGCCATTGTCCCTCCCTTTAATTTGCCATCTTTTGAAATGCAACCACAATTTCCTGGGACAGCTTTGGAAGCTGGCCTGCTAGCCCATCTCCAGTGAACATGTCGGGCCCTTGGACTCCTTCTCTAGCCCATTGAAATCCCATCCCCCTCACTCAGTGTGCTCTCTTCCGTTTCCCATCCTCCACCTAGTGTTTGCATGGTGCGTGAGGGGACTGGAAAAAGAGTGGGGAACGGACAGAGGAGGAGTGAGAAACAGAAGAGAGATGGAGAACTTGCAAGTCTGGTTTTTTTTAAACTTTTATTTTATAATTTGTGTGTATGAGTTTTTTGCCTATTTACTTCATGTGTACTCGTTGCCTGCAGAGGGCAGCAAAGAGCATTAGATCCTTTGGAACTGGAATTACAGACCGTTCGGAGGGGCTGTGGAAGTGCCAGGAATTGAACCTGAGTCCCCTGGAAGAGCAGGCAGTGTTCTTAACTGCTCAGCTACCTCTCCTCCCCTCAACAAGTCCTGTTTTTAAATCTGAAGCTTTCAGGCTAATATCAGCAAGTGAGTGGCACTCTGGGGGCTGAGACAGGAGGTTGGTTACGTACATAGAACTTTGCTTGCTGTGGCTCCAATGTGCGTTCTTATTCCTTTACTTCATTGTTATGCAACGAAATTTTTTACCTGTTCTCCTCCTATTATAATATGACAAGTACTGAATACCGTGTTAAGTGTTGGCCAAGGATTATTGTATTTAATTCTCATGAAAGCACTACAAGTTGAGTATGATCATCAACTCTGTAAAAAAGAAAGGAGCCAGTGCAACGACTGAATTGACCTGACGAATCACACAGCAGCTGCTCTTTCTATTGGGATCAATGTCCACTTAGAGGGCCTTTCAATGTTTCCTGTGGTGGAAAAATTCTGTTGCTGGGAGCAGTTTTGAATTTTTAGAAAGAGCCATAATTGGTAGGAACAGAATGCAGGAGATTAAGTTGAGAAATGCCATGTTTGGGCAAAGAACAGGTGCAGGCACAGGGAAAGGGTTGGCCTCTCATGTAGGCCAGAGTGCACCTTCTACGAGTGTCCTGTATTGGTGCTGGGCCCTCAGGAATTCTCTAAGGCTTGTTAATGATATTAATAGAAGAGCATGTTTGAAATGCGGCAGGAATTTAGAGATTATCCTATCCAGTTGCAGTCCTTCACTGAAGAGATACATGAATTAGGGAAGATCACTCATTCAGTGTCAGAAATGCAAAGTATAGGTCAGAGCCCCCAAATTCCTACCCATGGTTCTCTAGTACCTTTGGGGTTCAGTAAGGCTATGTTTGTGCTTTCACCACATTCTTCTTGTTCATCCTCTGATGGAACAAAATAAGAGACAGAAGAGTAGGAAGTTCTTTTTTCTGCTCTCTGTCTATGTCTCTCCATCTCTGTCTCTGTCTCTCTCTCTTTTTCGTACCGTGTCCCATATAATTTGTAGATTCATACTCAGTGTGTAATGGAGGATGACACTGGTCTCTGGGTGCTCCATCCTCCATCTCCAAAGTACTGGGATTACAGTGTGCACCACCATGACCACCTGAGTATAATTCTTCAAAACACCCCAAAGTCTGTGATTGACAATACTGTAATGCATATTTACAAGTGTCCCAGTGGTAGCTCTTATGTCAAATGCTCTTACCACAACAGGAAAACAACAGCAACAAGGAGAGCTGGGAAAAAAGTCTTGGAGGTGATGGATACATTTGTTGTATTGATTGTGATGACAATGTCTAGAGTGTGGACTGACATAAAGTTGTGCGCATTGCTGTTCCTTTTTGTGTTTTAATCATACATAAATGAGTTAGGTAAAGAGAAGGCATCTTATGTCACCATCCCTTGAAAACAGATGAAACAAAGGAGCCCTGTAGAGAGTGGGTTGACGCAGTAACCTCAGGTTAGACTGGCATCACCTTCTTATTCCCTTCCTTCCACAAGAGACACAGAATCTTTGAAAACCAATGAGCTTGCACTTGTGTCTGGATCCTCATTGAGGTTTGAAAGGCAGGTGTTATCCTGTCATGTTTCCAACAGAAAAGCAGGGGGCCAAAAGGGAAATGGCTTAACTAAAACACTTCTGGAAGAAGTCATCTCTCAGGACCCTTTATCACACACATAGGTCAGTCTATGCCTGCCTGGTCAGGCTACGGTCCTCCATTGCAGGGCCGGGAAGTGTAGAAGGGGAGGCAGGGACTTCAGAGGGATCTTGCTTTAAGCCTGGACTCCACCTTTTATTATATTGTGACTTGAGGAAGTTTGAATCACTAACCCCTTATTTTCTACTTGGAAAAATGGTCCTCTTAATTACTCTTGGATTTATTATAGTAGAGGATCATAGTAAGTCCCCAGTAAGTGCTACTTTTAAACATAATATAAAAAACCCAACTCACAGGCTTCTCAAACCTTTACCTTCTTTCCTTGACTCAGTCCTATGTGTCCCACATCACACCTCGGTCCACCTCTTACTTCACCTGTAGGTGTGACAGATACTTTCATTCATTCAATTTCTAATCTCAACTAGGCACCTTTTGGTGCTTTTCTACTTTAAGGATTCCCTCAAAGTACACACTGAAAATACCAGGGTCAGCCTTCAATAAAATAGGTGTCTCCCCAAGGCATATTCTAAAAGACAGTCAAATGCCCGTTATCCATAGTAGTGACCATGGTAACAACTATACGGAATATTCTGCCTCCAGTGTCGCTCTTTGCTCTCTCTTCTTGTTTTCTAGGACCACATCTGACTCTACTTCACTTGAGTCTATGTTTCAGATTGTTCTTTGCATACTCAGCTCAAGATACCAGGTATGTCTTACATAAGACACTGCCTCATGTGTATGTGATTCTCATATGCTTGTAGATTTTGCTGAAGACCCCAGCTAAAGACTACCAGAGCATACCCATTACACAAGTAATGTATGGAGTCACTCACTTGTGGTAGCTAAGGAGAACACATCAATGTTTTAAAAGAAGAGAGGGGATAGCATTTTTAGTGTGTGGGTTCCTATCTGTTATTCATATGGTGCTTTTAAAGGCAGAGCTTGTTCAGGAGTCACATCCTTAGAATATGTGAGTCCATGCAGCTAGAGATCAGTCTGGTAACACATGCATGGAAGGAACTAGTTTTTACAAAACTTTGAGCTTAGATAGATTGAATGCCTATTAAAAATTAGGCTGCTACAGTTAATTTCCTTTTATATTTCACATGCTAACATGTTTATGGTTTTGCTTTCAGTTTTTGGCTTTCCCTTCAGTTTAACTGCCTACAGGAATACTTTGCCTTTGTATTAGCTTTTCAGGTCTCCGTTAGGCAAGACTCTCTAGATGGGGGCTGGAGAGAGGGCTCAGCAGTAAAGAGCACTGACTACTCTTCCAGAGAACTGGGGTTCAATAACTGATACCCACATGTATCTTATCTGCAACTCCTGTTCCAGGGGATCAGACATCCTCTTCTGGTCTCTGAAGGCATTGAATATATGTGGTGCATAGGCATATATGAAGGCAAAATATCCATACACATAAAATAAAGAAATGAAAAAATCTTCAGAGATGATAATGGATGAATAGATAAAGAAAGACTGATAGACATAGACATGGAATAATGGAAAGACATAATGGAAAGAGAAAATGGGATTTATATTAGGGAATTGGCTTATGTGATTATGGCAGCTTGTCAATCCAAAATCTACAGGGTGGGCTTCTAGACTGGAAGTCCAAGAAGGAGTCAACATGACAGTTCAGGGCAGTGTATGCTACAGAGTTCCTTCTTGCCCAGGGGAGTTTAGTCTTTTTTTTATTTCAAAATTCATTGATTTAAATGTTAATATCACTCAAAAATATCACACCATCATGGAGATACCTAGAAAAATGTATGTTCAAATATCTGGAGGTCATATCTCAACAAAGCTGACATAAAATGTCAGTCATAACAATGTCAAATGATTCCTTCTCATCACATGATTGCCATTTTATTACTGTAATCAGAAAGATCTTGTCTAACTATCACACAATATTCATAGAAAGAGCAACCAAGTTCTCTTGGAATTTTTTGTTTCTGCCTTTTGACCTTGGAAATGAAGCCTATTGAAAAGTCATAGGTAGAAAAAAATGCAAAGAAAGTACATAACTTACCCAAAGGTGTGCAATGACAGAAAAATCTTGCTGCCCCTGCTGTTGGCTTCTCTTTAGGTTATCTGACCAGTTACAAGTACAAGTACTAGCTTTCCTGAGAGCTCTGAAAGGCTGTAACATGGGCCTGTTATAACCACAGCAAACTACTGGAGTTTTGGTCTTTTGGTACTTCAGACCCAACATTATCCCTTTGGAGCTATTTTTTTTTAAAACCGTAATAATATATTTTCTTTAACCTAACATAGCCAAACTTTTTAAAAATTACATTAATGATATGTAATTGACAACAAAATATTTTACAGTAATTAAAATGGTTGTTTATTGTGGCAGATACATACTACATAAATTTCATCATTTTAAGCATTAAGTGTACACTGAATATATTAACATTATTCTGTAGGTATCATTACTTTTTCTAGAACCTTTTAATCATCCCACTCAATACAAAAGGAATGTTCTACAGGAGATAAGTTCATTCAACATCTTTTCAGTTGTGCAAGCCACACCTGGCAGGCCCTTTGCACTGAAGGTAAAGAAGACTGGGGGAGCTCTCATATCTCTCAACATTACTTTCTAGGATTCTATGGACATAAAAACGGTAGGAATAACACTGAACACTTTAAGATAAATTATTATGCTGTTTGACACCTAAGTCAAGACTCAGACACCATCATATGTTACACATTCAAAAGAGTTGACAGATACAGGACACAATACAAAGAAGACAAAATCAATCATGGATATGTAAGAGACTAAAAGATTAAAAGCTCCTCCTTTCATCTGAGAAGAAGCAGGCTACTCTGCCACAGAGAACAGTTTGCTGTCCTCAACTAGGACAGGGCTAATCACTTAGCTCAAACACAAAGACATCCATGTTCGCACACAGCAGAGAGAAAACAGGATTTGTAACAAGCAGAGGAAATAGATGGCAGATGTTAAACAGGAAGCAATATAACATAGTAGTAAAGCAAATGTATTCAATTATCAAATTTAATTTAAAATCTTGGCACAGCACATACAAGAAACTTTCTTTGCTCATTAAAGCCTCTATCACATATTGTGATGGGCAAAAATGGTACCTGCTCTGGAAAAAGGATGAGATCACAGAAAGGCTGAAAAACACTTACCATGGGACCTGGAACATGTTAAGCATACATGATACATTCATAAGCATTACTGTTTAGGGCTTGGATATGTTTCTAGGTAATGAATAATAAACTTGAAGTGGATGAGGCAAGCCTTGGTTACTCTACTGTCAGCTTCATGTTCTGCATTTTAGAAGTTACACATAACTGAACAATAGCTTCACGACAAAGAGAGTAGGAATAAGACAAAGTCATATTTGAACATATTTCATCCAAGTCACAAACTTGATCAGTTAGTTTAAATCACAAATTCTATTTGCTTTATTTAATATTATCAACGTGTCTCATTTTATAGCAAAGTCTTTAAACCACACAATATTCATTGATATAGATTATTTCACATTATATCCATGATGAAGATAAACCATACTTTAGTTCACCATCCCATCCAGGGAAAAGCACTAATGTGCTTATGGGTGACTGGAATTAAGCAGGTATGATGAAATTACTATATTAAGCTATCTAGGACAAGGGTGATGGAATCGTAAGGGTCACGTGTTTCCTTCATCTTCAATGTCCTTGTCACAGCTGATCTTGAGCATAGCCAGCACCCGTGTTCTGATCTGCTTGGTCTTAGCACCATAGATGATGGGATTGATCACAGGAGGCAGCAGCAGGTAGACATCTCCCATGAGAACATGCACAATGGGGTCTAGGCTGTTTCCAAAACGGTGTACCACTGACAGGCCAATGAGTGGTACATAGAAAGCCAGAACCACACCAATGTGTGACACACAGGTCCCAAATGCCTTAGCTCGTTCTGACTTGGAAGGCAGTTGCAAAACTGTTCGTATAATCAGAAAATAGGACAAGGAGATGAACATGACATCTACACCCATGACTAGCAGAATGGCAGTTAGACCATAGACTACATTGGGCAATGTGTCTGTATAGGCCAACTTCATCACATCCTGATGGACACAATAGGAATGGGAGAGCACATTGGAGCTACAGAAGGCCAGCCGCTTGATCAGCAGTGGGAGTGGGAAAAAGAATAGGGATCCCCGGACCAGAGCCACCATGCCGATTTGGACTGTCACTGTATTGTTGAGCACAGCAGCATGACGCAGTGGGTGGCAGATGGCCACATAACGGTCAAAGGCCATGGCCAGCAGGATGGTAGATTCAACTGCCGAGAGAGCATGAATGAAGAACATCTGGGCAAGACAGGCATCAAAAGTAATCTCCCGGGAATCAAACCAAAAGAGGGCGAGGATCTTGGGCATGGTAGATGTGGACAAAGCCAGATCAATAGCTGCCAACATGCAGAGAAAAAGGTACATGGGTGCATGCAGGCTCCGCTCCGTCCTCACAATGAACACCACGATGCAGTTTCCAAACAACGCCACAGCATACATGGAAAGCAGGGGGAAGCCAAACCAAAAGTGAGCTCCCTCCAGTCCTGGGATACCAATAAGCACGAAGGTGGCATGTGTGAAGTTGCAGGAGCTCATCGCTGATACCAAGTAGGGAGGACTGGAGAGGGTGAGGTCACACTGGCAGCCTGCAAGGGCATGGAGCAGAATCAGAGAGTCCCCTGGAACTTTGTGTGTATTAGCAATCCCCCTTCTCAGTCTACCTCCAACCACACCCCAGCTCTTTCATGAGCTACACGCCTCTCTTTTCCAAGGAAAGTAGTGTGAATGCTCCAAATTCATTTATTACTCACCATTACTAATCATTTATTTCAAAATAAAGCTTTGCTAGAAAAATACTTATCCCCAAAGTCCAGATTTCCTCAGACTCTCCTTTTGTCTCTACCTGGATATTAGGCACTCTCCATTTCATAAAATTACTGCATTAACTCTCTTTTCAGATAGAGATATCATCCTTCCCTCTTCCTCCCCTTCTCTTCCCTGTTGCCCCCTCCCACTTTGCTTTCGTCTATCTTTATTTCTACTTTTCTTCCTTTGCTGTTATTCTTTTTCTGTCAATTCAAATTTCAGAAATATTTACTTGAATGGCCTGTTAAGCACAATACTATCTGTGAGATGAAGACCTGAGACTCATTCCTTTTGACCTCCACAAGGCTTGCTTGGGGTAGGAGACGGATAAATAACAAATACATTAGAGCATTGTGATAAAGCTAGCATAAGAAATTCATTGACTGCAGGGAATGACAAAGACAGAGGAGCCGTCCTAGAAAATATGGTCTTTACATTTCAGTCTTGAAGCATGAGCAGAATTAGGTAGATGGAAGAGACAACAAAGGATCTTCCAAGGTAGGGGGAATAGAAAATATTTTTCAAACAAAACAAAACAAAAACAAAAAAGAAAAAAGAAACTTATCTGGACTCATAAAACCAAAGGCACCAGCTCCCTGTAACTATCTCTTTGCAGATGGAGGTGCTGGCAACATCCATCACCTCCAGTGGACCCTAGCTACTAGATATGTTCCCTCTGACACCTTTTTCCATTGTTCCCAGTCAGTGGCCCACTCTATGCCTGGGAGTCACCACCAATGGTATCTTCTTTTGTCCCAAAGAGAGCTTGAGGGGTAAGCCTTGATTTGGGGAGCAGTATCACTGATTTTTTACCATAATATTCTGAGGATTTCCCTTGGGATCTGTGCCAATAAGTCATTCATGTCCAGGGAGGAATTTCTTCTCCTTGCTTTCTGGAGCCCCATGTTGCTGTGTTTCAATCCCATACCCCACCCAGTAACCTGAGCACTCATGTCAAACTCTTTTTCTGTCAAGCTCCCTAATGGCCTATTTTTAGAACTGGATAACTTCAGGAGTTACAGGCGAGGCTATGAGAATCAGGGGCTTTGATGCTTACAAGTAAATGATACAGGTGTCTTTGTTGACAGTATCCAGAATATCCTGATTAATTTGTTTATCTCTCCCAGGATTCTTTGCTCCTTCTAATCAAGGCCTTTAATACAGCTTGGCGATGCCCTTCAACTTCTCCTTAATGGAGAGAGTTTGGAGAACCGATGCTTTAAATCACAATAAAATAAGAACTAAGAAATTTAAAACTGGAATTTCCTGATCTTGGATGAGCAAAGGCAAACAGAGTAAGGATTCAAAGGTTATAAAACCCATATCACTGATGTCGGTTTTCTCCACCCTTAGGTCTTGGGCAGGTAAAAAAAGAACAGCATTTCCTCCCTGACAGATATCGAATTCTAAACCTAGCTACCTGATACTGTCAGAGACAATTACATTCTTCAGTGAGATAGATGCAAGAGAGTGGGATGAGTGTCCCAACAGGAGCTGTGAGCCCAGCCTGAGTTCAACACACATCATTCATCCCTCACAGGGCTCCTGTAGTCCAGATACTACTCTGCCTGAGGAGCTGCACCCCAAGCTGGGCTCTCTGGTTTATCAAGGTCTCAGTTTGTGACCTCTGATATTTTCTTGTCCTGATTTGTCTAGATCTCTGTCAAAACACCCACTCCCCATTGTCACATCTCCCTCCCAGTGTGCACAAACAGGAAAGTCCTGTGTGTTTTTATTTCCATCTTAAATCCAACCCCCATCTTTGTATCTATTATAAGCAGCTTGTGGGAGAGAATGCAAATGTCCCAACAAATGACTCTGTGTGGTATAGGGCAAAGCAGAACAACCTTCCCTGGAGAAAGACCACCTTACTTGACCACTGTACCCAAGAGAAATGGGGACAAATATGAAAAGAAGGCAGGTTGGAGATGTACCAAGGGGCAAAAAGTCACGTTTCACATTCTCAAGGGCTTCTGTGGCTCTGACATATTTAAAGGCCCTCTCACCCACAGTCAGTGCCTTCCTAATCCACCTCTCTGCATAGCACCTGTCCAGCCTTGCTGGTGCTTAAAGCACAGAACCAGTTTCTGTTCGATTTTGTGTTATTTTAAAGGAGGTAAAACTATTTTTCTAGGCTACATGACAGTAAAAAGTCTACAAAACACTAATACAAACAGTAAAATAGCAAGATTGTCGCATTGGTAGCAGTTTACAAAGCTCAATATTTCCATACAATAATAATGAAGTATCGGAAAATGCTCTTCCAAAAACCTTTTATTCATAATAGCATCAATGATTATGAATTTAATCAAAACTGGTAGAAAATTTATACATTGTGATCTACAAACTATTACTGAGAGAAATTAAATACAATATCTAACAAATGGAATGATGTACAGTGTTCGTGGATTAGAACACAAGACTGTATTGAGTACAGCTTTTCTTTAAGATGAGATGCAGACTTATATAGTTGCTACTGAAGTTTCTTTAAGCTGTTTAAACATCAGTTTTTAAAGTTAGCATACAAAGTAAAAGTGTTTACCATGACATTTTCATGGAACTATATTATTGTACATTGTTCTTATTCAGCTCTCACCACCCTCTTGCTGGTCCCCTTTACACCCTCAAATATTTCCTCCTTCTGCTTTATGTCATATGGACGACATAACCCCCTTCCCTCTTTCTTATTTTAAAATCTCCTTCCTCTTCTCTGATAGTCTCCTTTCTATTTTCTACACACACACACACACACACACACACACACACAGATTCTGCATACGACAGCAAAGTAATATTTGTCATTTTGAGTCTAGTTTACTTTACTTGACACAATGATCTCCAGTTCTATCCATTTTCCCGTAAATGGCACTATTTCACTCTTTATAGTTGAGCATTATTCTGTTATATATCACCTGCTTTCCCGTAGATCATCAGCTAAGGCACTGGGGCTTGTCTTGTAATGAAGTGTGTGGGGTCTGCAAGGTCCCTCAGGGTGCCAGACGCCTGGTAAGAGAGCACTCACCTGAGAATGGTACAGCTCAAGGAAGGCAGCTGGATCTGGCTTTCACTTTCAGGATCAGGTCTCTTTATAATGCTACTCAGTAGGCTCAGGGAACAGGGTGTGGGAATAACAGCTGATGCTCTAGGGATCTGGCAGACAGAGGAATAAAATGCTCATGTCCACTCGTGTGCTGCTCTCACAGGCTTCCTGCTTTTCCTGTCTAGGGAAACAATCTCAAAGGGCCAAGGTTACTGCCACTATTCCTGCAATGACACATGTGAGTTTCTTGACAACAAACACGTGTTTCCACTCCTCCGAGCTGATCTAATTTCCACAGTCAGCCACAAGGTTAGTGTTTCCTCGTTATCTGATCTGTTAGACACAGCAGGCAAAATGTAGGAATAGTCACGATCCTTGAACTGTTGGTGTTCACATTGACCTTAAATCCTAAGTAGGTACACTAAAGTGTAGTTCCATAACTCAAAATAGGTTCATTCATGTCTCCATAGCTCTCTCCTACTTCTCTTGCAGTTTAAACATAGCCCCTGATATAATGAAGTCACTTCTTTTTATACCTGTGACTCTTTGGTCTATATTATCATATACTGATAAAGTCAGATGCAGAATCTCATGTATTATTTATTCATTCACATTCAACAAGTGTTTGTCAAGAGCCTGTAATTTCATAAGCAAAATAGAGACAATTCCCAGGGTTATGAAGTATACTTTCTGATTAGAGTGGCTGAAATGAAATTAAACTAACGTATAAACTAAATAGAATGCTAGATAGTCATAAGGAGAAAAAAATGAAGAGGATAAAGAACATGTTAATATCAGGAGGAGGGACTTGAAGCCTCAGATGAAGCTGCCTGGAGGAGATATTGGAGAGATAAATGAGGGATACACCCACGGAATTATCTGGGGAAGAGTGTTTTGGGAAGAAGCATCAGAGATGGCAAATAAATTTCCTAAGGAACAAGTATGTCCAGCACCTAAGAACAAGGCAGGCAGTGTATTCCAGTGCAGAGAAGAGGGGGAGAGAGGGTGGAACGAAGGAAGACTCTGAACTACCTATATAGGAGCTTGTAGCACTTGACAATAAATTTACGTTCTTCCCTTAGATCTCAGTGAGCTGAAGATCCTTATACAGAGCTACATATAATCCTACAGACTAGTCTTCTCTAATTGTCTCCACCGCATGGACTTGTTTTTATTGATCCATCATTGCCCATTCTGGTCTTTCTTTCATTGTTTCTTTTTAGTGACTTCATACTTCAAGCCTTTAAAAATCTAGCTAAAGCATCATCATATTCTTCAAGAAGTGGTTTCTCTAAGCCCTCTGATATTTCTTCTCCAGTGCCATATGCCCTCCTTCATACCCATACAGGTATGTCTATCTTTGATTGACATTTATCTTGCCTTGTCTCCTATTCTTTCTAGGTTTGCCTCACAGATCAGTCTTACCTTGTTATTGTTACTCTAAAAACAGAAACATAGGGGGCTGGAGAGATGGCTCTGAGGTTAAGAGCACTGCTTGCTCTTCCAAAGGTCCTGAGTTCAATTCCCAGCAACCACATGGTGGCTCACAACCATCTGTAATGAGATCTGGTGCCCTCTTCTGGCCTGCAGGGATATGTGCAGACAGCACACTGTATACATAATAAAATAAATCTTAAAAAAAAACCAAAACAGAAACATAATTGTTGTCTTGTTAATTAAGTAGCAAGACTTATTACACACCTATAGTGAGGGATGTGCTCATTCACTTACTGTGTAAAAGCATGTTCTCTCAATACTGGTTTTTTACTGAACTTAGGTGATACAGAGATGAATATGGTCAAATCACTACCCTAAGATGCTAAAATAACATCTACACACTCTTGACATAATATGGAATAATAGCAAATACCAGTGATTTTTAATGAGGACTTGAATAGGGACATTCATTAATCAAGAGTGGGTCCAAGAAAGAGTTTTTAAAAATTCAATTTAATATGTATGGGTATTTGTCTGCATGTATGTCTTTGTGCCATGTGTCTGCAGATCCCAGAAGAGGACATCAAGTCTTCCTGGAACTAGAGTTACAGATGGTTGTAAACTGCAGTGTGGGTGCTGGGAATTAAACCTTAGTCCTTTGAAGAACATCCAGTATTCTTGCCTGTTGAGCCATCTCTCCAGCCCTCAAGAAGAGGTTTTTTAAAGCAAAGATAAATCATAGAAGGAAACAGAATTCTCTAAGTAGAGTGGTGTTTCTGGAGTGATATAAAAAGAAAAGAGAAATTGAGAAGGCAAATAGATAAGAGTTAATGATAAGCTGTGGACTCCAGGCTTCATTCTGTTGGAGTTAGGAGAAGAATGCATAGTTCATATCAAGGACATCATAACTATGTATGTATATTAAATTGCATTTGTAGAAATTGTTTGAAGGATGCATTTCAGGATTAGATTGTTTTGAATTTAAACTTTAGATGTATACTTTTCCCTCATCTCCCATAGTCAATTCTTCAACTCATCTTGTCTAATTTTCCTTCTAAATATAATACCCGTGTCACTGTAATTACTCTGGTTTCTAGGAAAGTCTCTAACTCACAGTGGAGAACCAACATGGTCAGAGCATAACATTTGCTCTGCAAATTACCCATTCTCAGTGTCAAGTTGCCCATTTATAGTTATGGAAGTTTACAAGTTTCCAGGGTGGTTGGGCAATAGGATTGTTCACAAGTTAGTGTATAGATGTAAGCAGAAGTGTTATGAAAATCTGAGTGTCTGGCTTTTAAGATTGAGATTCCTTCTTATCCCCCTAAAATTTTATTTCTCATTAGGAGATTGAAATGGAATAAATAGATAGGGATGGAGATGGGGGGAGCTGAAATGGAGGATCAAATGGAGAGGGGAAGGGGATGAGGGGATTGTGGGAAGGAGTACAGGGAGAGATACCTAAAATTAAGTGACATTTGAGGGGTAGTATGGAAACCTAATATAGTAGAAACTTCCTAAAATAGATGCATATATGAAGGTGATGTAGATGAAATTGCCAAACAATGGGGGAGACAGAGTCCCATTTGGTCACAATTAATAAAATAATAAAGAAAATATATTTATTTATTTTTTTGAGATTATAATATAATTACATCATTTCTCTCTTCAAACTCTCCCATATACTATTCCTTGCTCTCTTTCAAATTCATGGCCCTCTTTCATTAACTGTTGCATATTTCTATGTATATCTATATTTGTAAATGCATAAATCCAACCAGCTCAATCTGTACTCTGTTACTTGCTATGTATATTTTCAGGATTGATTACTCAGCATTGGCTAACCAATTGATGTGTTCTTCTCCAATTCTGTTTTTTTTTCAAGATGGGGTTTTTCTGTGTAGCCCTGGATGTTTTGTAACTAGCTCTGTAGACCAGGCTGGCCTTGAACTCAAAGGTCCACCTGCCTCTGTCTCCTGAGCGCTGGGATTAAAGGCATGTTTCACCAATGCCAGCTTCTTCAATTTTAAGACTGAATACTGTCATCTTTTGCTCCCAGCTCAAGTCATTCCTACCCAGTCTCTCATTGCTCTCCAAGTATCACACCTTATGCAGTAAAGTAGGCAAAATTCTAACATTTAAACCCACATTTTTTTAATCTTTCCATCTTCCCTTCTTGGATTTTTCTGCAGTTATTTTGGACTTTTATCTTTGTTTCATTATAGGTTCAGACTGTATGAGGAGCATGATCCATGAGGTTCAGAGAACAAAAAGAGATGGAAACAAACAGAAATGGATAGTTTATTCCAAATATAAATCATCCATGTAAATGGCTCTCTAATTTTCTTCTTTTGCTTTTAACTCATGTTTATTAAGGAATATAAAGGGAAGTTTTATGTTGGAAAGACAGAGAGAGAGAGAGAGAGAGAGAGAGAGAGAGAGAGAGAGAGAGCTGCAGGAAATTAGAGTAAGGTGGTGTTAAGCCAAATGATCAAAGGAGGACATCCCGCATAACATCCTTCAAAATGAGAAGCTTCATGAATAAATATCTTGGGAACTATGAGAATACTTATGATCTTGTGTGGCATCCAAATTCTTATACATTTTTCAAGATCTTATTTATTTATCCATCAGTTCAATTGAGGTTAAAAGATAGTATGGAACTAGGTATGCTGGAACACACCTATAATTCCAGCTACTTAGGAGGTTGAGGTAGGGCAGTGTCACCATGGGGAATTTTGTGAAACTATTTTAAAACCAAATAAAACCATCAACAAGAAAAGAAATCTAAAGACACAAGCAGCCAGATACTATTAATAGAAGTGTAAAAAAAGAACAGCAGTGAATAAGATGCAGTTCCTGGTCTTGAGAAGAGAACTCAAACCCTGCTGTGGAAAGAACACTTCTAATCCATCTAAAGAGGATCACCATGAGAAATAAGCACATGGTGATGGTGGTGTATCTGGGTGGAGTATAAGGCAGATTATGAGGGTCAGGGGTTCTTCAAATAAGTCACCTCTCTTCTAAGTGGGAGGGTGATGACTGTAGTGGTATTTGCTCTACCTATGACCTTGGGCTATAGGGCCCAAAGGAGGTGGTACTTCTTGCTGTTGACTATGACCTCTTAAAAGGAAAGGGAGAGGGGTCACATGGGTCCTTTTTTTTTTTAAATCATACACCAGATGGGCTGGGAATTGAACCTGGGTCCTGTGGAACATCAGTTAATGCTCTTAACCACTGAGCCACCTCTCCTCCCCTTCTTTGTCTTGTCTTTAGTTGGAATGTACTGCCTAACCTTATCCTGCCCTGCCATAGGCCAATGCAGCTTTATTTATCAACCAATCAGAGCAACACATATTCACAGTGTACAGAAAGACATCCCACAGCACTTTGCCTTTACTGTCTAATCTCAGTCAGTAGAGCATAAGACTCTTAATCTCAGGGTCATGGGTTCATGCCCCACGTTGGGTGCCACTTTTTAAGAACAATCCACTTGAGTCTATTTAATGGGTAATAGGGATTTATTAAGATATAAATTGAGGAAATACACTCATGAATACAAACTGAGTAAACAGCTGAAGTCATCTTCTGTTCTGACCTGGAGGTTTGATTAGCCCAGGAAGCAGGCAGTAGGCAGCAGGGGCTTGTGATCCTTCTCTCTTTCCTTTTAAGAGGTCACAGTCAACAGCAAGAAGCACCGCCTCCTTTGGGCCCTATAGCCCAAGGTCATGTGTGGAGCAAATACCACTACAGATGATAGTGAATACTACTATAGTTGGAGGTAACAGCTTGTGCAAAGGCTTGCAGTAACAGAGGATAATCAGAATAGAAGAAATGTAAGTTTCTCATCAGTCTTGGAGTACTGTACAGAAGACAAAGGATTCTTAAGACGTAAATGGAGACAGTACACTCAGTGAGAAACAAATTCCTTATCCTCAAAAACCTTATCTCATGATGGGGAAACAAGCAAAACAAAACAAAACAAAACAAAACAAAACAAAACAAAACAAAACACCTCCCCTCCCCAGTATATAATAGATTGGGTGTTTAAAAAAAAGGCAGGTAAGGATGGGGATAAATACTGTCAGGAACTGATGGAGAAGTATTGTTGTTATGATTATTATCCCTATAATTTTAGGGGTCCTACAGTAAGGTACACTGGGTAGGATTCTGCATGAAGAGAGGATGTAAGTCAGCAGTTGATCTCTGAGAGAAAAACATTACAGGCAAAAAAAATGGTGAGTATGAAGTATAATGCTGGAGTGTTCTTGATGATATAAGAAAATATCTAGAGGCTAACGTAGATTTACTAGGGTGAATCAAAGGACAGTAGGAAATGGAACTGGAATAGTGGTGGATACTCAGAACATGTAGCAGCCCTTGCACACTACTACAGTCACTGAATTTCCCCCCATTAGTCAGACAGGAGCCCATGAGAGTGTGCTAAGGAGGGAGTGATAAGACCTGTCATATGTACTAGAATAAGCATTCTTAACTGTAAAATACATGAAGGAAGATTCTCCACAAAGCTATTCATAGATGACTTCAGATTCAAGGTGATGGCTGGCATCCTGATGATAGTAGTGAAAGCAATGTAAGTGGCTGGATTCTGGGTTTGTTGACAAACAGTTAGGTGTGGAACAGGAGTAACAGCAAGGTATGAGAATTCACTGCAAGTGTTTCATCTTAGATATTTGGAAAACAGAGTTTCTGGTTATGGAAGCCTGTAGAGAGCATACATTTTTATTGATGGGACTATTAAGACATCTAAGATGATTGTGAGACATCTGGATATGAACATTAATACATGTTAGATGAGGGTGGACTACTTGTCGTTGTTCAGCATAGGGCATTTAATGTCATAATATGATATGAAATGACCAGAAAAAGAAGCATAATAGGAGGAAGAGGCCTGAGAACAAAGTTCTGGCATATTTGAACACATGTAAGTCAAGATTAGTAATAATTAAGAGAAAGGATGATGTTCCTTCCAGAAGCCATAGGTTGTAAAAATCCCAGTGCTAAGTGTAGGATTCTTCCCCTCTGGTTGTTGGTAAGAAACCTCTCAGAAAACTCAAAATAGTGCAGGCTACTTTCATTGCTCTTAGATGCCCACCAGAACTTGATGGTAAGACACTATTTCTGAAGATGCCACATGCTTTAGTAAAAGGACCTGGAGAAATAAAGCAAGTACTGACCTGGAAGCTTCCCCCATGCTGACTGCCTCCCATAGCAGCAGAAGGTGCTATCCAGGCTGCTGGGGAACAAAAGTCGTTGATTGTCTTACCCAGCTATGAACATCACAAGTTCCAATAATGATACAGCTCGCAAGATTTACTCATGGGTGAAGTTATGATAAAATGTTTTGGGGTGACCAACTGCTTTGTGATCTGGTTTAAAGAAGGCACCACAGAATTTATTTATATCTGATGTAAATCTGGCCAAGAACTCATAGTTGGAGAGATCATAGGCCCTAGGATCAACTTACTACTATTAGTTTCCTAAATGGACATAGTATCAAACTACCTTCTAAATACACATCTCTATTTACATAGAAGCTCTCAGTCTTCACCAGCGAAGTTCCTTTGAACAGTGGATGGCAGATAGTTAGAAAATGCTACCTATTTTTCTACAAAGGGATGATTTAATATGAAATTTTTAACTGCTACAATGAGGTAAGAATAAAAGGGCTGTTGACAAGGATAGAAATACTAGCTTAGAACAAAAAAAAATGGCAAGGAAAAACTCTAGACATAAAGCTATCTACTGTTATCGCTTCCTAATTATATATGAGTGTCTCCTCATCTGTGAAATAAGGGGTTAAAGTAGCTGACATTTGATGAATTCTAACATTAGCTAACTATATGGCCTGAAACAAGCCATCTAGTTCTACAGTTTTGTGAGTCTATATTTTTTTAGAATGGAGAACTTTTATCACAGCTTTACGTATCTGCTTGGTCTTCACACTGTAGATGATGGGGTTCATGACAGGAGGGATCAGCAGGTAGGTGTTAGCAATCATGGTATGGACATAGGGTGGAGCTCGTTTCCCAAATCTGTGAACAAAGGACAAACTGATCAATGGAATATAGAATATAGCTACAGCTCCTATATGGGAGATACATGTGCTGAAGGCTTTCTTCCTCTCTTCTGGGGAAGCAATGCTGAGGACGGTCCTAATAATCAGGACATAAGAAAGGAGGATGAGGACCGAGTCCACACCAACAGTAGAAATCATGGCAGTCAGTCCAACTACATTGTTGATCCTGGTGTCTGTGCATGAGAGTTTCATGACATCGGGGTGGAAGCAGTAGGAGTGGTGGAGCACATGGCTGTTGCAGAAGGTTAGTCTCTTAAGAAGTGCAACCATTGGTGTCAGCATTACAGTCCCTCTGATGACAATTGCTACTCCAATTTGAGCTATTCTGGAATCAGTTAAAATAGTGGCGTACCTAAGGGGATTAGAGATGGCCACATAACGATCAAAAGCCATGGCCAACAACACTGAGGATTCCATGACAGTGAAGAGTTTAATGAAGAACATCTGGGATAAGCAGGCATTGAAGCTGATCTCTCTGGCATTGAACCAAAATATCCCCAACATGGTGGCCAGAGTGGATATGGATAGCCCGAGGTCAGTGGTGGACAACATGGAGAGGAAATAATACATGGGCTCGTGGAGGCTGGGCTGAGTGATAATGGCGAAGAGAATCAGGCTGTTCCCTGAGAGGGCAGTTGCATAGAGAAAGCAGAAGGGGATGGAGATCCAGGAGTGGAAGGCTTCCAGCCCAGGCACACCAGTGAGCAGGAAAATGATGGAAGAAGTTGTGGTGTTCTGGAAAGTTGACATGCTAGATTAAAAGTACAGAACAGGTCTGAAACAAAAAGACTATATTTCTTTGTGTATTCTATTTATATATTTTATCCAACATTTACTTGACCAAAGGTGAGCATTGATACATTATCTGAAAATAGGAATGACACCTTTAAGTTAATAAAATTTTGTATGATTTCAACTACTGCAGCAACATTTTTTTTTTAATTTTTGAAACAATTTTCTCAGCCAACAACTTTTCCTCACTGAGGTTCTTTGCTGCTAGGTGCATTTGTACTGTGTGATCTATCTTTCACTCTTTCAGCTGCAGATGACACAGGACACTAGTACCCACTTGGTATAACACGTTACCATTGTCAACTCTTTGTGTTCTAAATTTTTGAATGACCAGTTCCCCACAATATATTCTCTGCATTTTGTGGAAAAATACTTCCTGGGAGATATAATGAAATGATTCTGCCTTGTTTTGCAGAGGAAGATGAATCTTTATTGAAAATATCATATTTTCTTCTTCCTCTGAGTAGAAAATTTAGACCAGGCAGATAGGTATGCATGAATTGTAAATGGGGATTTGGGGAAAAGCATTAAGGCTATGGTTGGAGATGGCTCAATGGGAAGTAGCCAGTTTGGGGCAGTTTCTTTGATGAGAAAGAAAGCCACTGAGTAACGGACAGCAAGCATAGGAGACGAAAGGGCACAGAGGGACACCTAAATGCTTCCAGAACACACACATGCACTCAAATAAGTTCTACTTTTGGGGTCATTCTAGGGAACCTTACTAAAAATAAATTGGGAACATAAATTGAAATTACTGGAATATCAGGGGGGAAAGGCAAAAGTAATTTGAATTTAGTGTATCTTGAGACTCTGACATTTTTAGTCATGAGTGTCCTCAGGGGAGTGATGAAATTAATGTCAGAAATGTATGATCATTATAATATAAAGAATTAAGTGTTGACATTGATGTACTATATACTTTCAAATGCTTCAAGAAGATACTTTAATTGTTACAACCACCCCCAAAATGATAACAAATTGAGGTGGTAGATATACAAATTAACTTGATTTGATCATTCCTGAATGTATACATTTAGGGAAATACCACATTGTGTTTCATAAATACACGCAATCATAGTTTGTCACTCAAAATCATTCAAAAATCCAAACAAGAATTTTAAATACCAAAGAGAGCTAAGAAAGGCAGAAGAGGATTATCAGAATGTGGTCACGCAGCAGGTTTGGAGACCAGGAGTAAGGTTTATAGAAAAAGCAGTGAAAATTTTCTGTGTACTGTCTACATTGAGATGAAGAATGCTGAGATTTTCAGAATGCCATAGGAATATTTTTCAAGTAAAAGCTTTTTTGCAGAGTTCAGTAATAAAAGCTAAAGAATAACACAAAATCTTCCCTTTAAGAGTTTGTAACCAAGTGAGGAAGAAACATCCTTGAGGCTTTTCAGTAACTCCAATATAACAATAATAATAGCTCTGGAAGGCTGTGTATCTGTCAGTTCTGGCAACCATGCCTTTTATTTGACATGTAGTGACTTATTTGTTATTTCTGCCATTGAGTTCCAGTAAATTTTACAAAGGATGACTTTAAATTACTTGAAGAATTTCCTGATTTCTTCATGATCAATAATTTACTCTATTCATGGCTAATTTTCATTCTTCTTGATAATTTCTTCCTTCTCTTTGTTGATGAAAGATGATAAAACAAAACAAACTGTACAGCACAGTTTGACCTGATCCATATTTGCTCTAGCAGCAGAGAACTCAAATTGCCTGCTTTCAGTTGGGCCATTCGTCACTCTCAAACCAGAATTTCTTATCATTTCTCTTCAACCATACTAGACCCAGAGAGGATTGCACATTCTGTTTTACAACCAGGAATTCTTTATAACCTATCATAAACCTTTAGGTCAGCTCAACAGTAAACAGATATAGGGAACTCACAGAGTCCTGTTAGCTACTAAGATGTGAAGAGAGTCTAAGGTGATTTTGTGACTGAGGAAGCCAAAGAAGTCATCATAGACAATATACCGCACTCTTAAGGTCTCAAAACATCCTCTTTAATAAGACTCCAGTGACTCTTATCAACAATAAAAATGACTGATTTTGAACATGAATGACCTATCAGATACTGTATAGGTATGGTGAGAACCATAGGGTCATAGACAAAGTGATGTACTACTAATCATAGAATGCACTAAGGTAGGAGATGTCTAAGAGATAAAACTGAGACAACACAGGGCAGCAGCCTCCAGTGTCTGGGTTCTGTATATGTGAATGGGTCTGTGTTAGGTGTTTAGGAATTAATTCTAAAAAATATTAAGAAAGTGGATGAATTGTAACTAATCTTTTGATGAGTAGATGTGAGTTTACAAGAGTGAAAATGGGAAGTGTGCTCTTGACATAGATAACATGAGAAGTGAGAAGAGAAATAGGTAACAATAAGAAAGATCACACAAAAGGATCTTAGGGTGAGTTTGAGTGCTGAGGGAGAAATAAGGAGATGAGAGCATAAGAATCTCAGGTTTCTTGGAAAGGATGTTTCAGATTTTGCATTGCAAAGTATCAAGAGCCAGGCATTTCCAAATACTTTGTGAATAAGCGAACAAGCCATTCTCTATCTCTTTTAATTTATCTCCAACAAGATTCCTTTTATTCTTCAGCATTTTGCTTGCATCGTTGGTACCTTTTCACAAGTTCCACCCCAACTCAATAATGAAAGCTTTACACATTTACTACTTTTTTTTTTTTTGAGATGAGTTTCCAAAATACTCATCTCAACTAGGACTCATTACTATCTGTCATTATTAACCACAGTGCTTAGATAGTAGAGGGATAAGTCATAAATACCATTCTTTCTTCAGTTTTCTGTTGTATAGTTTATAACAAGCAAAAAAAAGAGTCTGAAAGACAATCTGCTTTTGTTTATTTTTCCTTCACCCTTGGTAACAAGCAGAATATTTCCCCCCGCTGAGAACTCCCAGAAAATCCTTCAACTCAGTGACTAGTGAATTTCTAAATAGTCTGTATAAATTCCAGATATGCTTTCTATCCCTTACCTCAAAATTTGATTCTCTCTTTCTTGTTACTTTCCCTTTCAATTGCTTCAATGATGGTTCCTCTGATAGATTATCCCTGTCTGCCGTTTTTCAGAAAATACTGTTCTCTGTCTTATTAATTGTGGTGTTGTAGAAAGTTTGGCTTTCCCTATCCCTTCTTGCAGTCCATATCCTCTCCTTGAGATGACCTAATTATGACTACAGCTTTAAACAACACACCCATCTGACTCATATATCTACGCTTTAATGATAGCATCTCCTAATTCTGTATTTCATAAGTTAGCAGAATCGTGAAGGGTTAAACGTGAAGACAACATTGAAGTGTGGAACAGAGTAACGTGGCAAAATCTGTGTTTTAGAGACATTCTAGCCACAGTCTGTAGAACAAATAAGAGCTCTTTGCTTCCAGTGGTAATAAAAGTGAATACAAACCTGTTTCTGAGAGATAACATCTCATTCCTCAGAGACTGCAACAGAACTCATTTCCTCCCCATTCCAGACCTGACTCTTTCCCGTTTCTTTCTCTGCAAGTGGTTTCTAGTAATTGTCTAATTAAAATTTCTCACCCTTTCTCACCCTTGTCTTATATCTCTCTTGTTCCATTAAAATATTCATTTATTGTTTTTTCATTACTGACTCTAGTTCTCCAATGTCTCGATGCTAGTTGGTACTTGAGGTTATATTTCACCACATATTTTGATACATTAAAAATTCACCTGCTAATATTAGAGAATAACAGGACACTAGATTTTCCTGACATTATTCTACAATTTTATTTTTTCTCTCACTGAGGCAAGATTTTACTATGTATCCCATAGCTAGCCTGGAATTCAAGATGCTATTGCCTTGGCCTCCTAAGTGGCGCGATTACAAGTCTTCTTCATCATTTCTGCTTTCTCCAAACAACTCTTCAGTGTACCATCACTCTCAGATCTGTGAGACTCACCTTCTCCAAAAACTTCGTTCTTCCTGTGTGAACTTTCCTATTTAGACAATGTTCTTTTTCACTGCAATATTGAGAGCTGTAGATGTGCCTTTCGATGCTGATTTAGAGCATGTGGCATCATCAGAATTCTCCAAGCTGCTTCTCATGGTCTACAGTGTGTGGCAGGCTAGGACTGGATCTGTGCTCAGAAACACTAGTTTGGAAGCCTTGTACAGCAATGCAAATTATTCATACTGATATATCACATGTATCAAATCAGCAAGTGTTATTGTGCTCTAGCCTAAGGGTCATACTGTATCGACATGTAACTGGTATTAATGGATTTCCTTTAAAGTTACTTTTTAAATGAAAATAATAAAAACAGGTGTGAGAGAGGTTATGAAGCATATTCAGGGTCACATAGAGCTGGTGAGTAGCATAGCCAGTATTCTGAACCCAGTTATCTTTAATTCCACTGTTCATATTCTCAAAAAAAGCTTATTTCACTGACTGACACTTACAAGCTATGTAAACTTCCTTTAATTCAGTTTACTCAACTATAGGCCTGGATAAGAAACTAAATAGAGCTCTGCCATTCAAAAATCTCTTCAAAATAGGTATTTCACTTTAATTTCAAGCTAATTTGAAATATTCACTCATATTTTTTGATACAGAGTCTCCTTTATCAACAGGCTGACTTTGAGCTTACTATGCAGCCATCAGTCACCCTGAGCCTCCGATCCTCTTACCTCCACATCCCAAGTTACTGGTATTGCAGACATGTATCATTATGATCAACCACAAACTTTTGTTTTTTGCATGAGTCATTGGACTTAGAAATGAGTTTAACTGATCATGATAAATGCATCAAAACACTAATTAAAGCATTTGACTAAAGACAGGTTATCCAGGCCCTTAGCAGGCTGAACAAAGCGCTCATTCTCTGCAGATTTCCTAGGAATCCATAATTCAAAATTTCCAGTCTTCTACAGCCCTCTACTCCATGATCTTATCTAATTCTGCCCATCACAATGTAATTCTTCCCCACTGCTAAGACAGCACAGCTCACCCAGTTTTACTCACAGAGCCCATCCAGCAGCAATGAGTCTCTCTCAGGCTAACTCAGAAGGTGGAGGGAGCTTCAGATTCCAGAGGAGGGCTGAGCTTATGCTGAGTGTCATCCAGCTCCTTTGAGGATAAGCACAGAGTGGAGGGACCAGTTCCCTGTGGCAGAGCTAATTTACTGTGCCTCCAGGGTGTGGACGCTCCCAGAGGATTTCACTTGCCTGATACAAGCTTTTTATATCTCTTCCAGAATGTGATTATGGCTACATGCTTTATGGGCTGATGTAAAATTTTGCCCTTGTGATAGTTGGTTGGAGAGTATTTTTTAAAAACAGCTTTATTGAGATATAGTACACATACTATAAAATTGATCCATTTATAGTGTATAATTCAATAATTTTTAGAACAATCACAGAATTATGCAGTAACCATCACCACAATCCAATTTAGGGAAATTTCACCACCTTAAAAATGCCATAACCATTAGCAGGCCATTTGAGGTGGATTAAAAAGATGAAATATCATATGTTTAAAAACATCT